TAAATGTCCGTACCTCGGTACAGACTTGGAAGAGAGGAAGAGTCTGCAGGAGCCAGAGCATTGCACCAATGATCCACTGATAAAGGTTAACATGCTTAAGGGAGGCCTTGTTCACACCAAATGCAGAGCAGATCCGGTCAGTTTTCTGCACACGCACGCTAGTCTTTTAGATGCATCTTTGGCTAAAAAATTATTTATTTTTTAACGTTTAACATGGGCTTTCAGTCCCTCTGTTGTTTCCGAGGAGTCTGGGCTGGCGCACGCGAGCCGCGGCCATCTTGCAGGTCCATACCTCCAGTGAGGGCCGCATCCTTGGTTCTCGTCATCCCGAAAAATCGGAGAATGACCGAGCGGTACCCGTGAGTCCCGAGGGGTCCGGTGTATACAAGGAAGGTACTTAGGTGTCTATCAGGCTGTATTAGTGAAGATGTAGAGGATATTATCAGGATCTCGTGCCGGAGCTCTCTCAGCCGCGTCCGCTCACATGAGTCGCCAAGCCACGCCCCCCTAGGAGGAGTGTGGAAATTTAAAAAAAAAAGACTTGTCCAAAGACTTAAGCTAGGCCCCGATCTTCTTGTCCCTCATGACAATCTACTTGACTCTGTTTATCAGGGTTGACTTAACAGAAGAGAAAAATGGCATGCACTGTGCAAAACATGTAGCTGCAGCCTGTGTTTTTCAAGGTATAGTTTTTGTCAGCTTGCTAGCGTTGCCATCTGCTCCATATAATACAACAGCATCCCAGATTTAATGCTGCGTCCCATCACGATTAAGTATGTGCATAAGTTTGTCTCATGTTTTCATGTGATGCACAGCATCGTGTGTTTCCATGGTGCAGGCAGGCCGCCAGCACCATAACAACCAAGGAGGCTGTGCTCCTGCAAGGAATCATGTGTTGCTATGTTGCTGGTGGCCATCCCGTCCACACCATGGAAACACATGATACTCATCCAGGGCTGGAGCATCCAGGGCCACCTCCAGCATTCAGAAGAACACGGAAGTCTGCCTCCATCCTGACCTGCTTCACCTCCCAACCTCTGCCATGTTGCTGCAGCTTTGGTAAAGACAATGTAAGTTAGGACAACTCTGATGTGAAGGGGGGACTCCTGAGATAAAAGGGAACCCTGATGTGAAGGGAGGACTCTGATGCGAAGGGGGCTTCTAAAGTAAAGGGGGGAAAGGATGTGAAGGGGGGGACTTTGATGTGAAGGGGATTCTGATGTGAAAGGGGGACTCTGATGTGAAAGGGGGGATTCTGATGTGAATGGGGGGGACTCTGATGTAAAAGGGGATTCTAATGTGAAAGGGGGATTTCGATGTGAAAAAGGGGACTCTGATATGAAAGGGTGGATTTCGATGTGAAAGAGGGACTCTGATATGAAAGGGGGAGACTCTGATGCACAAGGGGGATTCTGATGTGAAAGGGAGGGCCCTGATGTGAATGGAGACTCTGATATGAAGGAGGGCCCTCCTTACCATCTTGTCTTGAATTGTATTGTGATTGTAATGTCTTCGTTATATTGTAAAGCACTGCGCAAACTGTTGGCGCTATATAAATCCTGTATAATAATAATGATGGGAATTACCATAAACACAAAGCACATAAAACTCATAATATATAGAATTTCCAAAATGCAAAAACAATGCCAAGCTTTGCAAACATGTATATTTATCCAAGACCACCCTGTCCGGCCAGACTATTGGGGTACCCCAGTCTCACGTAATGAAAATGTTTTTCTTAAAATGAAAAAAATGTAAATGTTGTAATAGGGATAACAATCATTCCAGCTATTTCATTTTGCCTACTGGCATATGCTGGAATATATACAGTATGTGAATGTCTTGTATGTAGTGAACAATTCTACAATTATAAACAAATTCCTCATGAAATCTCTCCTACTGTTTACTTCAGTGGGGTTAGCAGTGGATTTTGCAGAATTTGGAGAACCCAACCTTAACTAATTTGCTCAAATCTAAAGAGATGCCCATTTCCTACCTCTGGCAGAGGTCTTCCTCAAGAGGTTCCCCAGCAGTATTTTTGCTCTCTGATATTAGTAATGCTTGTTACCTGGCTTTTCTAGATGTCCCTCGGAGCAGTCAGATTATCTAACCCCACCGGTCAAATGATCCCATGCCATCCTCCAGTGGCCCTACTTGCCTCTCAGTGCTGCGCAAAGGAAGTAGTTGATGGTTGTATTGTGGAATGTGTGGTATGTTCATCAAAGCCAACCATTGCCAGTACAAAGTATGCTACATTCCATAAATAAGGTGAGGTGCGGCTGGGGAGGTCAATATGCTTTGAATGGAGTGCCAGCCAATGGAGCCGAGCCCCAAGGTGGAGCAGTGCAAATATATCTACAAATACAGTATGTCTTCAGTTTGCTGTGACAGCCACATCTACAGGGCTTTGCTTGCTGACCAGAAATGATTTGTTCAAGTAATGGCAACCCTGCCATTGGAGGAAGGAGTGAAGAATCCTCCTTTCAACTCCTTTCCTCCAGCTGCTATCTATCCCTATTACTGTGCTGTCTGACAATAAATGCTGACTACTGTTAGCTGGGGATTCGAGTCCAGTAGCCAGTCTTGACTACATGACATCTCCTATATATAGTTTGTAAATACATAGATAAGGGTGTAGCCATATTTGCTAATCACAATTGCTGTTATGCTTGATCAGTACTGCTGCAGTAGTACCTATACTTCTTCTTATATCACAAGTCTTCCAGTCCAGGTCTGTCTGAATAAAACCAACAGACTATCTGGTGGAGCTAATGGTATGAAACATTCACAATGCACCTGACAGCCAGTAATGGATAATGTCCACCTATTGTTTACATTTACTTCTCCATGTATGGGCAGAGAAGGGACGGGGCTAATAGCAGCATACATTTATTTAATGGGCTGAAGTACACGGACATCTGCATTGACTGATGATGTCACCCTTCTCCGTGGCATCACAGGGGAAGTTCCCCCTTCACACCAGCAGCCCCCACTTTACATCGGAGTCCCATTTTAACATCAGAATCCCTCCTTTCACATAAGAATCCTCCTTCATATCAGATTCCCCCTTCAATTCAACAGCCCCCACTTCACATCAGAGTCCCCCGCTTTACAATATAAGGAAGACATGACAATTGCAATACAATTCAAGACAAAATGGTAAGTAAGGCCCTCCTTCAAATCAGAGTCCCCCTTTAATGTAAGAATCCTCCCTTTCACATAAGGATTATTATTATAATGAAGAGGTTGTAGGAGTTTGTGGACATAAAGCAGACCTTCACCCTCCCCACCCATTTTACCTCATTGCCCTCTATTCTTATAATTGCCCCCCCCATCCCAATACCTTGTTTCTCTGGGACCCCTCCCGACACTTTCGGGATTCTCGCCTATGCCAGAATGATGTCCCATTCACCTGCATACACCGCAATGGGTCATCAGGGGGCCGGCTGTCTCTTCCTTGTTATTCCAGCCGTCCCCTGATGAATACACACCACGGTTTATTATCTGAAAAGCAGCTGCAAGATCCCGGAAAAGACAGCTGACTTATGATGTGATTAAAGAAGATGGCGGTGCAGGACCTGGCATAAGGCAGTGGAACACAGCAGGACAATGCTGGATTTGCTGGAAGAATGAGTATGGCATTTCAGGTATAACCCAGCAAACAGCTTAAGTGGGGATAAAAAAAAAAAAACATGGGGGGAGGGTTGGGGACTTAGAGTCAAGTTCCTCTTTAACTACTTGCCGTCTGCCTGTTGTATATAAATGTACGGAAAGTTTTTGTACAGCGTTTTTTGTGTGCTTGCGTGCATGGTAAAGTGCGCATGCACGCGCAGAAAAAAAATGCAGCCCTCAGTAAAAGGTTTAAACAGCTGGTAACGGTTGTTACGTACTAGTGTTCAGGTGGCTATACAGTCACTCGATCACTTGCATGGTGCCGAGAAGTGTGTGACCACCCTGCCTCCACCGGCTATTCCGGGCTGCACTGTTCCATGTGCAGGCCTGGGACAGGCAAAGCGGCTCTCTGTACTAAGATTGGAGGGAGTTCAGCACTTGTTAACCCCCTATGTGATAGATGAGCAAAAAAGTTAAGTGTGTAAAAAAAAATAAAAAATTAGTTGCATAAAAAATAAAGAAAATGTAAAGAACACAAAAACATTTTTTCAGTCCCTTGCCCCCTGTAAACACACATACAAATGTAAATACGTGTCGGGTGCGAAAATTACGATTACGCCACACGTTAGATATCACCGCAAACGTCGGAGTACGGGTGATAGTTCTAGGGCCATTAATCACTGATAACACTAAATTGATCAGCAGTAAAAGCTTCTAAAGCGTTGCCGATGGGAAATTTGGGGTATGGTAATTTTTTGATTTCGCAGGCGCACGCAATTTTAAGGTTTGACATGTTTGGTATCTATTTACCCGATGTGACTCTGTCTTTTATATTTTACTAAAAAAAATGGATAATAATAAATGTTTCATAAAATAATCAAGGGAAAACATTTTTTTAATAGTAAAAAATAAAAAACCCCAGTGATGATTAAATGTCACTCAAAGAAAGCTCCCCAAAAAATTATTTAAAAATCATTTCAGTACAGTGTTGCATGGCTGCATAAATGTCAAAGTACTGCAGCACTGAATACTGAAAAATGGCCTGGACAGGAAGGGGGTATAACACCCAGGTCTTCAGAGGAGACCCCAGGCCAGGACGACACTTGTAGCCCTATCTTGCATTTTGCTAGATTGAAGAACTTGATGGGTTGTTTTTATCTGCACCTCCATGTTGATGCCTTTTCTAGGCTGTGCTTAAAATGAATGCAGGCGCAGAGGACCTGTAGAATACATTAAAATCAATGCAGAAATGATCCCAATTCTGTCTCGTTATTACTGAATTCAAACTCAGGCGGTTGTTGCCGCTGCAGCCAGTAGAGGGCGCTGTGAGCATCGGGGGTCTAAGACTCTATGGTTACTGATAGAAGCACGTGATTTGTACTAGCATAGCGAGTGACAGATAGTACGGAGAGGTGATAGAGGCGGGTAAGTACACTGTGAGTGATCTTCATGTGCGAAATGCTATCAGTATGTTTTCAGCAACCGTCAGACAACTTGCTTGATGTAATGCCATGCAGAGTCTAGACCTGTGTATACGCCTGTCCACAACTAATATGCAGGCACGGGGAGCCCGGATCTAGCCATCTTATCTTCACATCCGTCCTGTCTCCCATTCCGATCAGTGTGGTTGTGTGATTTCTCCCACAGGATGAACACATCAAGCACGTGTTTCTCCTCGGAGTCTGACTTCTGTTCGGATTGTGGCTCGGTGCTGCCCCCTCCTGGTATCGCGGACACCGTCACATGCCCATGCTGTGGCCACCCTACACAAGTGACAGGTAAGGCCTTGCCAAGATGGAGTTCTTTCTCTTCCCTACTGATCCTTCCACCAAAAGGCCACCTTGAAGTTAAAGTGCATGTGCAGTAAAGGTTAAAAGAAACAGCAGGAGAGGGAGTGGGGAGCTGAGCCCGGAATAGATGTGCATGGGCTTGGTAAGAACCGAGTTCACCCGGGACTGTGCAGAACTGTTAGTGACACATCCCCTCCCATGCCATCAGCTGTGGCCAGAGCATTCCTTGTTACGTGCAAGTGCAGGGAATGCATTGGCTGTAGTTTTACTCATGCAAACTCGGTTTGCACCAAGCCCATGTGCATCCCTTCTTAAAGTGACAGTAAACTCAGGAGTTAAATCTTAAAAAGACATTCAAGTACTTTAACTATTAACACAAATGTATCTTATTTGTGTATCACTCGGCTGTAGATTCTCCAATCATCTCTGAATGGGTGCTGACACTGTCCTTCCTTCTGGAGGGTGGCTACTATTGTTCCCCATGGTCCCTGTGTGTGTTGTAAAGTAGCCAGCGCTCCAAGCTCGCTCCTGTGATGCACTACAATCTCAATACAAATTAGTAAACTAAACATGAGATTGTATTCCATCACGGGAGTGACCTTGGAGCGGTGTCTACTTTACAACTGTAAGTTAACACCAAAAAAAGGTGTCCATAATGAAAGATTTGCACTCGCCTCCTTTTCTGGAGACCGCTATAAAATGTTTGCTCCCCATTACTTTCTGTCCAAGTGAAAATGGTCACCAGGTCAAATGCAGAGGGTGAAGATATACAGCAGGATCACAGACAACACTACAGATTGACAGGGGTTCTAAATGCTTACCAGTCTATCCAACACTGAAGGGGGAAAAAATAATTAATGTGTACATACACTTTAAATATTGTAGGGGTCACTAAGCCTCAGGCCTTGTTCACACCGAAATCGGTGTTAAGGAGGCCTGGAACGCACCGTGATCGCTGTGAAACTTCTCCCCGTGTTTTGGAGCGGGCGTGGCGGTGCATTGTATTCAATGGCACAGCTTCCACGCCCCCCCCCCCTCGCCTGCAGTGCAACCGAACGCCTGGCAAAACTTTGCCAGCGTTGCGTTCCACTGCAAACACAAAAAATAGGGCTTGCAGCTACCGCTCTGGAACGCACATGCTTTCGGTGTGAACAAGCACTTAAGCCCTTAGGTTTTCTTTGTTCAAAGTTAACTCCGATCTTACGGAAAGCAGTGAAATGGTCATGATGAGGTAATGCAAGATTCTGAATACTCATTCTGAATTATAATGGCACCGGCTTACTTTTAACACTTTGCACTTTTCAATTTGAAAATCTGGGGTTTAAAGAGTCCATTGAAGTCATATAGCTGCTCCCCTGTGCTTTACCTTACACAATGTCCCCCTTGATGTTTCTGATGGTACTTCTAATATTTCTAACTGAAATAATTCAGCCCTTCTGAATTATGGGGGTATGGTCATTTGACATTGTAAGCTGGCCCCACACATTGCACTTTTATTATACAACCTCCTTTAGATTTAATAATGACTAAGAAGTACAAGGGCCGTTCTAAACAGTCCATTTTATAGCTACTAATTTGCTTTTATATCTAATCGATAGCATTTATATATTTTATCATTTGATTGCAAGATGATATTACCTGTATGCACTCGGGAGCTGGAAGCCTGGGTTTCAGCTGGCCTCTGAGCCCTGACTCCTAAAGTAATAGTAAAGTTAAATAGCGTAAGCCTGAGCAATAATACTTCAAGACTGAATATTCATTCCACAATGGTGACTAGTTCTCTTAAAAAAATCTGTTTAAAGGTCTCCATTGTTATCTGTTCTCTTAATCTGTCAACCATACATTATTTTTCTTACAGCTTTCTTAGGGAAGTGTGTTCGGACATCAGTAATGTTTAACAAATTGGACACCATTGCCCTATCAAATGAGGCTGAAGATACTGGAGCCTTGAAAGGACCCCTGGTAAGATGGTTACCCCGAATGCTCAATGCATACCTTGGCTACGTTCACACTCATGCTGCAGTGCACTACAGATTGTCATTCTATGTAGTTTTTCATTGTTTAAAGGGGAGCTATTGGGAGAGTAAAATGTAGTCTTCCCAATACTTAGAACAGGTGTGGACACTGCAGCTGTCCCATGCCGGCTCTAGAGAATGAGAACTGAGCGATCATGTAACCACTGCTTCTCCCTGCAGAGAGCAGTGACTATCAGTTATAGCTCCCCACAGGGATCCCCCCTCCCTCTCTGTTCCTCCAGCACTCATTGGAAGCCAGACGGGGGAGGCGGCGGGCACAGCTGGCTGTCAATCAGACAGCCAGGTGAATCATGACAATATTGTCAGGATCCTTCCCAGCTGCAGCACGGCTCTTACTGAGGCAGAGGCATGATGGGTGGAGGTTGCTCACCCCTGTTCTAGTCCCTCCTATTTCCACATAACTAGCTGTAAACAAAATTGATTTTTTTTTCTTCTTACATTTGGCTTCACTCTAAAATGTTCACTCTTTGAAGATCTCCGCATGGTGTCCATTTCTGTTTTGCTACCCTGATCTTCTGATTGGGGAGCACGCACTGTGCATGTTGGCCATTAGACACGTGATCTAACTCATTGGGACTATATGTCCCATGATTCCTCGCATGTCACGGAGCAGCATGTGAAGATGTTGTCCCAGTTGGGAGTGTGTGCATCATGGTGGCTGCACTAGGCCTCCAGGGAGACCCTTCAAGGCAATGTAGTCACCCTGTAGGTGGAAAAAATACACTTGACTTACAGAGGTTCATTATGCTGCAAAGACAGGCTACCCACATAAAGGGAAAACTAAACAAGCAATAATATAAGGTATGCTGCCACATTTATTTAGGGTTTATTAACACTTTAAATGTATTTCAAATGCAGCCAATAGAAATACCTGAATATGAATTTACTTCAGCCTCTTGTAATCCCCCGTACAGCAGAGCTCAGGATGCAGGGGCAGTACTTGCAGCCAATCGGGTGTCCTGCATTCACGAGGCAAGAGCAAACATTTCCCAGCAGACTTACCAGGCATCCTGCAAAAACACTGTCTAGCCATTAAACCCCTTTCACATGAGCATTCAGGTTGTAAGGTTTCCAACCCTTCGTTTGCAGATGGAAAATGGACAACAATGCATCCCTATGGCAGTGCGGGTGAAAATTGATGACCATCCGTTTACATCGGTGTCAGTTTATGTCTGCAATTTTAGACGGATCAGCTCTTCGTTTTGACCGAGACTGATGTAAACTGATCATCAGGTTACATCAATTCAGGTTACGTTCATTTTTTGGGACTGATGTCGTAATACAGCATGGCAAGCTCAATGCATGCTGGGGGAAAGCAAAGAATCATGGGAATTTACCATACTATAATAACATAATATGTAATAAATGGATGTAAACTGAACTGACAACGGATGGTTAAACTGATGTAAACCTATTCAGTTTTCATCAGTTTTTTGTATCCGTGAACCTTGACCTGATGACGCTCGTGTGAAAGGGGTCTTAGGGTTAAAAAGAGAGGTTTCTGTTGCCACACTGCCTCGTCAAGGTCCCTCTGTGTAGTGTGTCCTAACGCTTATCTCTGAGGACCTCCATCTTGGAACATATGTAGCAAAGGATGAATTGGGTGAAGGTTTGCTAGGAGGCAGCCCAACCTCCTTAAAGGCACAGGGACACACTAGAAACCTGCACCCATTTCATCTTTTTTTTTTTTCCCATCCTCATTTCCAAAAGCTGGAAATAACAAATGTATGAGAAAAATCTTGAGGTTGGCCTTGCACTTATGTGTTGTGGTACAATCTGATCTGCAATGCTGCGTGTGTTGCGATAAAATGATGCAGGCATGCATTTTATCACAATGCAACGTATTACAACACATGGCAATATGTCACAATGCTTTGCCATGCACTGCCACGCTCTGTTGAATTAATGTTACTAGAGTAATGTTAAGTCAAAAAAAGTCAAGCACTGCCATGTTTTTGAATAGCGCACGTGTGCGTAACACACCACATTATGTTGCACATTATGTGTGTGGGGGGGTAGCTCTTCATAAACTGAAGAGATACTATGTTTACTATGTCCCTAGTCATAAATGAACAGGAAGCGATCTGTAGAGCTCGGTTATGAATAAATTCCGTACTGTACCGTACTGATCACTCTGGTGTTTGTTGTGAAGGGAAGAATCAGTAAATCCTGCGCATGATTACTGACCCTCCTCTCTCCATCCTAAACTACTCCGCCCCGCCTGTCACTGGATCCTCCTGCCCGCAGCTCTTTCCTCCCTGCTGGGTGCTAGCAGCATGCTCTGCTCTGTGTCCCCTGATTCCTGTTGTCTCTGCCGATACAGGTGGGAGAGAGCAGAGGGGGACATGCAGGGGAACAGATTGCCGATGCTCAGTGGGGAGGATCCAGTGCCAGTAACTGAAAGGTGTGGGGGGGCTTGTCAGCCACTGATCACCGCTATTGATTTACACAGAAGAGTCCAGAGGACCTTCCTGTTATAAGTTCATGGTCTGTGGAGTGACCATGAGCTTACAGCAGAAGGCTGAATGTAGCCGACAAATGGCTTGCTGGGCTGGCCAGCTGAAATTGTTTTTGCAGGAAAAGGGTTAAGATAATTTCTCTGTTTATGTATGGGAGGATAAAAATAAAAAACATCAAAGCAAACATTTGGATTGCTGTGGAAATATAATGTGGGGCGAAGTTGTATTTTTGAATAGCTATTGTTTCTGTTCCACTACACAGATTTAGGCCAGACCGACAGAGTATTCTTCAGTTTCTGTCTGCATGCTGCATGAGTCCTTGAACTGTTCTATTTTGTACATATTCAGCTCTGATAACAGCTGAGTCTTCTCAGATTGACAGGCGCTGCTCACGCTGTGGGTATGAAAAAATGGTTTATTACACGAGACAGATGCGTTCAGCGGATGAAGGTCAGACTGTCTTCTATACTTGTATGCAGTGCCGGTAAGTATACATATAGTGATGATGATAGTATACCTTGTGATGTATATGTTGATGCCTGCTTCATTTTCATGTTCCATACGGAGAAAAAAATAAGACACTGAGCTGACAGAGAAATATTCTGTACACGTGCAGTAACAAAATCAGAACTATGGTCTTCTGGTGGTCAATGGCTCGGATTGTTGAATCAACTGAATTGGCTTGACAGCCAGACATTTGTTGGCAGTCCACAATCATTTTCACTAATTAGAGCTAGCGGGTTTATGGAGCTCACTCAATACGTGAGATTTCACTGGCCTTCTCTCTCCTGGTTCAGATCTCGCCTCACCCCACCAACTCCAACAAGGGGGTATTTCCCTTACTGATGCATTCTTACCATGTATCTCAGAAAGAAGCTTTAACAGTCAGAATTAACCCTCTTACAGAGACTCATGATGGGGATCATGAGAGTGTAGTTATAGCAAATAAATATGTTCATTGTTGGTGCCTCAGATTTTATTTCCTCATAACCTATTTGTGTGACACATTGTCGCAATGCGATCGCAAAGCACATTGTGCCTGCAGTGCGTTCCTGTGCGATCAAAATAATGCTTGTATCATTTTGATTGCACCGGAACGCACTGCAGGCACATTGTGCCTTGCGATCGCATTGCAGCCGCAGGGCGTGGCTACGGTGCCACTCACTGCAATGGCCCGGCAAAAAAGTGAGCCGGCCGCAATGTGGGCAGTGCATTCCGGTCAGATTCTGACCGTAACGCACTGCCTATGGTGTGAAGGAACCCTTATGGAGAGAGGTGTGTGCCTTTCCAAATCATATCCAATCACTTTAATTTTGCACAGGTGAACCTCAATGAAGGTGTAGAAACATCTCGACAACGATTAAGAGAAATGGGAGGCACCTGAGCTCAATTTCAAGTGTTGCAAATGGTCTGAATACTTATGCCAATGTGATATTTCAGTTTTTCCTTTTTCATACATTTGCAAACATTTCCTAAAGTTCTGTTTTCACTTTGTCATTATGGGGTCCTGAGTGTAGATTAATGAGACAAAAAAAAAAAAAGAATTTAAACAACTGTAGCATCAGGCTGCAACATAACAAAATTGGAAAAAAAAGTGAAGGGGGTCTGAGTACTTTCTGAATGCACTGTATATCAGACACTTGTGTTGTAATCTATGCATCCGGATAAGTACTGCTATGTTTCTCAGACACAAATTTTGGTCAGGCTGCTTCTGTTTTGTTGCACTTTATTGGTTTACCATCATAAAATATATACGCGTTCCCATACTTCAACTTCTAGAATAAAACTTTTATTTCAGCATACACATTTATTAGTACTTTGCTTGAGGAATGTAAGATCATGTATGGAGATGTATGTAATACTGTTTGGCTAGCCTTAAACTTAATGTGAAGTTTACAAACATGGCAGCCGTTTACCCCACTGGTCTTGCACTCCTTTTTTTATTTTTTTTTATTTTAGCCCTGTATTTGTCCTTCTGATGGTAATCTTCTACATATGCATTTCGAGCCATTATTTTTTTGGGGGGGCAATCTATCCTTCTTTTAGGCCAGTAGTTTCTTTCCAAACTAAAGGCAGTTTATATAAATGAAAAGTTGACTGATGTATAAATAAGTTCAGTTTGAGCATATCTAGGCGGCATTAATTGGATAACTTTCTGCTGCTTCTGGGAATTTAAGCCCAACATGTCATTTCTTAGGACGGTTAATCAAGAATTATTATAGTACAATAACCTATGGCAAGCAGTCCGATTTCAGTTTATGGACATCAAATGACTCCAGGATGAACTATGCTTCGCTGCTGCAGATTTGTTGCCCTTGTGACGTACACCCGGCCCGAACCCGCAGTACGTCAATCACACGCGACTATACACTGTTCTGAACCGAGCGTGGCGTCCCAAGGACGTGGAGATGCCACTCTCAGCCTCACCCTGCACAGAGATTTCCCAGCTCGCTGGACACAATCTCAGGCCAGCAGACTGAGAGCGATCGCCACCAGGGTTGGTTAACTCCGCAGTTTACCCTTTACCCACCAAACGTCCACTGCCACCATGTGTTTTTAATGGAAACACAGGCCGTGCCCAGCAAGTGCTGTGACAATTTAACACTTAATGCCTATGATAACGCCGTCCTCTCAGACAGGAATATGACAGGTGTCACTATACAGTAGCGCTCTTCATCGAGGCAAGGATACTTTAAGTTCGTATTTATAGCGTAGTGATAAGCTTAATGATTTTTTAAGTTCGTCCTTTAAGAGACTTTTTTTTTTTTTTTTAGGTGTCACTGAGCCGGCCCCTAGGGCAGGACTGGGGATGGAAAGCAGGAGGGGGATGAACCTTTTATTTTACACTATAACCGCCCAATTCCAAATTATGAAAGAGAGCTGATATTGTACTCAGGTTTATGACTTTTCGGGTGAATGCCGAGTCACCTGGGTCATTACCTCTACCAGACCTGCTTGCGTTTATATACTTGTCCACTGGTGACAGATGAGTGCCTGGTGACATGCCTTAGGGACAGCTATAAAATGTTTACAGGTGATTTGGGACTCTCACTTGTGCTGGTCAATAAAGATCACAGGCCAGATAAGCAGATCTCTGTGGACGGCCTGGCAAATGACTACATGACCACATTTGCTCTGAACTGGGATACAAGAGAATGCTATTATTAATATTCAGACTCAAACCCAATTATTGTCACAGCCCTGTCCCTTATTGAAGTCTGTATGAACTTTAATTCTTATGTATAAATCATCTTGTCATCTTTAATCCTTTACAGCTTCCAGGAGAAGGAAGATTCCTAATGGTCATGTCCAGCAAGATTAAGTCAAATGTCTTTTTATGTAAATAAAATTATATTTTGTATTTGCTCGTCCTGCTGTTACTTAAAAATGTAGAAAGTGATATGTGGGTCTCCTGATCTTCCCCTGTCCTTCCGACAGCTGTTTTTTTTTTTCCCCCCTGATTTTACTATTCCCCAGTAATTTTTTGTGTTAAACTGGAATTGAAGGTGAAAAAATCAGCAATGTGCAGCTTAGTGCACAGGTTCGGCAGGATTGTTGCCGAAATAAAATAACTCCCATGTGCTTTCATGGGAATTACATCATTGGGGCTTGGCAAATTAATGGGGGCGGCCACCACTGGCTCTTCCTCTAGATGCCGAGCCCGCTGTCAGGCTCTTTCCCAGCCACAGCACGGCTCTGCGCTATCAGCATATAACAGGCAATAGTCTGCTGTATGCAAAGTCTTGAGTCACAGGAAGACATAGTAAATGTCCTCCTGTGACCCTAGAGAGCTATGGCCAAAAAAGGTTGGGCCATACTTCTCTTTTAAGGGGCCGCAGGCTCAAAACCCAGAAGAAGACTGGGGCAAAAATGGAAATGCTGGTGGAGGAGCGCAGCGCTGGAGTGGATCGGTTTGGCAGGTACATCTGCCATAATGTGCTAATATGCTGGGCATTCAGGGGCCCTTTTTTCATTCTTTTTT